TGTGTTCAGACCTTAGTGAGTTGGAACTGCTCAATATTCTGTTACCAGAATTGCTTTGCTTTAGTACTAGCCTGAAAATGCTGATTTATTTTTGCATGCCCCACAGTGCCTGGCAAATACTGTGGGGAGGGTGGGAAAAAAAAACTTGTTACGTGAGGAAGTGAGCAGAGGAGCTGTCCGTGTACACTATGACAAATAAATCATGAGAATTCCCTGGCCTGAATTTCTCTCACCAAAACAGTGACAGTCTTAACAATGGCCATCTTAAAATCACAAAGGTTTTTTGGCTGAAAGAGAAAATACAGATCAGAGGACTTTGGGCCTTGAAGAAGGATGGTAGATGATTTCAAGAGATTATTACAATGTACCACACTTAATGTGTAAAACCCCAAAGAAACCTAAGAAAGCAGGAAAGTGAGACGTGAGAGGATGCTTATTCAGTTGCTCTGACCAGAAATCTTGTTCTCTGCAGTTGCCAGAAATGCCGTTCTCTCTTATTCTCATAACAAGCCTAAAAAGCGGGCACACTCTCGCTCCTTTTTTTCAGATGGGAAACCTGAAACGCAGCAAGTGTAAGCAGCTTTTCCGACCATCTGGTTTCAAAGCCTAATCTGTTTCTACAGCACCGTATTAATTTGCAAGGGCCAATTCCGCTTACATTTCTGCACTATAGATCTGTCCCTGTAGAAAAACTCCCCAGGGTTCTTCTCAGCAAGACCCAGAACCACCCACGTGAGCCAATGGAGATTCAAGGATATCTGGGCTGATTTGGAAAGAGCATCATCTTCGGATGGCTGTGAGGTAATGAAGTCCACAATATGCCAGCTGGGAGTACCCAGAGGACAATAGACTAACGAAGCCAGCCTCGTCCTTCTGGTTCCCAAACCTGACGGGACTGTTCAGTGTTGCATAGACTTCAGCTGGCTCCGTGCATGGCCGGTGCCAACTGCAGAAGCATTTCAGAAATAACTAAGCAAAGCCAAATTCATAATCAGCTAGAGATGATTCAAGGCTCCTGGCATTTCTTCCCCAGCCTTTATTCCCAGGAAGAGATGGTATTTATTATGACCTGGGTGCTGTATTTTTTATAACCTGGGGAGTATTTTAAAAGCAGGGATTAAGGTACATAAACTTTTAAGTCTTTTAGCAGCAGATTTCAGAGACTTTGAGGTTGTATAGGGAGAGGACAGAAAGCGGGTTGCTAAGTGCTGCTTCGGGCTGAAATATGAAAGAAAAATACTTTTCTTATACAGTGGAAATGCTAAATCATAGTCTTCTAATACATCTAATATATCAAGGGAGCAGGTTCCAAAGCTTTTGGTTGGTTTCTTCCTATTTATCTGTGGTAAAGGCCGATCTTTGTGAGAGAAAAATACAAGTCAGCTCAAAACTGAGAAGTCTGTAGGTGGCTGCCTTTGGGAAATGCAAATCGAACAACCTCTTGGATGAGATTCCTATCTGCTCCACCACCTTTTCAAGATGTAAGTTGTCCAACAAGTCGTCTTTATTTGGTTTCAAAATCTTACTCAAGTTCTGAGCTGTGGTAAACTCTGATGACACTGGATGATCCTTTACTGATAAGATACATTTGATAACTTTTTTGATCTTTAAAAAGCAAACAGCAGGCCTGGTGTGGTGGCTTACTCTATAATCCCAGCACTTTGGGAGGCCTAAGAGGGGGGCGGATCACCTGAGGTCAGGAGTTTGAGACCAGCCTGACCAACATGGAAAACCCTGTCTCTACTAAAAATACAAAAAAATTAGCTGGGTGTGGTAGCACATACCTGTAATCCCAGCTACTTGGGAGGCTGAGGCAGGAGAATCGCTAGAGCCAGGGAAGCAGAGGTTATGGTGAGCCAAGATTTCACCATTGCACTCTAGCCTAGGCAACAAGAGCAAAACTCTGTCTCAAACAAACAAAACAGCAGAATGTCAAACTTTGTAATATATAATCTCAATCACACAAAGAAGTCTGTATCTGCATTGAATGGTAACAAAGAATTTAAATGTTAACAGTAGCTAATTATGGAATTACAAGTTATTTTTATTTTCTTCCTTATACTTATCTGTTTGCTAAATTCTTTTAAAAAAGCAGAAAATTTTGGCTGGGCGCCGTGGCTCACGCTTGTAATCTCAGCACTTTGGGAGGCCAAGGCAGGAGGTGGATCACTTAAGGTCAGGAGTTCGAGACCAGCCTGACCAATATGGAGAAATCCTGTCTCTACCGAAAAATACAAAATTTGCTGGGCATGGTGGCACATGCCTGTAGTCCCAGTTACTCGGGAGGCTGAGGCAGGAGAATTGCTTGAACCCGGGAGGTGGAGGTTGCAGTGAGCCGAGATCGCGCCATTGCACTCCAGCCTGGGCAACAAGAGCAAAACTCCATCTCAAAAAACAAAAACAAAACAAAACAAAAACCCAGAAATTTCAAACCCATTCTCATTGGAGAAAAGAAAAGGAGAGAATTGCCTTTATAAGCAGAAAAAAAAGTTATTTGAAAAAAGTCAGGCTACCCCTGCAGCAGGAGACATCATCCATTATAAATTCGGCTATTAAATGAGAAACTTAAGATGTGAAAGGCCAGAACGATTTTAGATTTCGAGTAGGAAGGTTTTAAGGAAGACAAGGAACACTGCAGGTCCTTATTATTTTCTTTTTTTCTTTTTTTTT